ATTAACAGAAACAAGTAACGACTCTATAGTAGCTAAAGAAAGTCTAGGTGGAGTCGTCAAATGATTGAATGACACCTCATCTTGCAATAATTGACAGGTAAGTAGGATCTGGAGCACAGACTCATACCTCATGGAAAGGGCTTATTTGATACCTTATGCTAATGATGATACATTGGGATAGAAATTGCTCTAATGAAGTTCTATGTGGAAGTTAGCACAAGGTTCAAAGGAGAATATACAATCACTCAAAAACATAATTTAAACAAATAAGAATTTTTCAGGTTGTAATCCTTGTAATAACAGTATCCTTGGGCTACGATTTAGGATGCTATTTATTCTAGGATTACTTGGTAAATACTACAAGATTTTCTCCCAAAATTCTCTATAGAAAACATGGTAATCACAGCCAATTTTCTCTGGATTTTCTTTTTCCTCAGATTTATCTACCGTCTCTTTTTCCCGTTCTCTTCTCTCCTTCATGCACCACCAGCCACGGTGGTTGTTCGGCATCACCGCCATCGTAGGGAGGTAGAGAACCCTATTTTCAGACAGTCCACCAAATCCGGCTGACTGTTTCCTGGCTACACATAATTGGCCCTTCTCTATCAAAACAAATTTTGATGTATCGGTGGCTAGATTATTTGAATGCCTACTCTGCAGTGGCTAAATTTTCATCTATTCATATGCTTATTTCTTTAGCCGCTGCACATAATTGTCCCTTAGACCAATTAGATATCAAGAATGTTTTTTTCTTCATGGTGATCTTCAGGAAGAAGTATATATGGAGCAACCAACTGGTTTTGTAGTCTGTAATAACTCAAGAATAGGTTTACAGTCTGTAATTGTAGAATTAGGGTTTTCAGGAAGGAAGTCTTTCTTTTATTCAGATTTGTCGTAAATAACAAGAGGATACAAAAGGGGTTTTATACAAGTAGTAGATAAGAGTCCTAGATAAGTTAGAAGTTATTTTCTACAAACTAGGATATTAGAGTTAGAGATGAGGTAGGAAACTAGAGGTTAAACGTAACACAACTCAGAGTAATAGGCATAACAGTGATAAAGTTACCATAAACAGTAATAAAACAAAAATCACTTTTTTCATCAAGGATGCTAGCTGAAACTTAAATTATCTTTCACATAACTTTACAAATTCAAATTTCTCAAAATTTCTTCATTGAATGGAAGTGACAAGAGAAATTAAGAATTTTGTTTCCCTACTCAAAGCAATATGTATCTCATTTGCCCTTAGGTGTCCAAATCGAATGAAAAACTCATAAATAAACAAAAGAAAGGGAAATTTTTTCTTCAGTTTTCCCTTTAGCAAAGAAAGAAAATGCATTAGCTAAATATGCAACTTTCCCACATTCAATTTCTTGCAATCACCATATAGCAACAATTCTTTTGTTAACCATGGCAATATACAATGGGTATTCAGCCTTAATATGAGATAGTTTAATTGAAAATTGGCCAATAAAATGCACAAAGAAGTCAACAAGATAAAGGATTAAGTTAATAAAACATAAATAGAATGTATATTCCTCTATATATGTGATATCACAAGAAGAAACTAGTAGTTGAAATGTCAATGACAGAGAACATGAACAATCTTTCAAAATGGAAAACAGTGGATAAATAATAGTAATGCAAGATATACCTCTTCTACTTTATTTGACAAATATGTCTTGAGCTGGCGAACACCACGTCCACTTGATGTTGGGTCCATCCTGTTAGCCTCCTTAAATGCATAGGCACGGCCTAATCATACAAAGAAGTAGCAACGGCTTAAAGAGTAAATTCCAATCCAAGCAGGCTTCTAGAAATTACTTTATGTGACAAACAATTTATAACATCCATTAGTCCTTATATCAAAAGGTAAAATTTATAGAAACAGCACAGCATCACTGATTTTATAGCTGAATCCAATTCATGAGGATGAAAAATGCCTTCCTGTAGGAAAAATAACTATAGCTATTTTTCTTTATTCCTTCCTTTTGAAGGATTGAAACTTAGTTGTGTTCATTATTAACATATCTATAAGGAGAAATAAATCACGTAGCTCCCTCATGACTAATAAAACTAGTTGCTTGCTTTTCAGCTTTGCCATCGAAACAAACCCACATAATAAGGCATTCTTATAATGTACAGAACTACAGGTTTCCCTTACAGTGAAATTGAATGATGGTTGATTTTTTTCCATGTTTGAAAGGGATTCATGCCAAACGTAGCATTGTAAGCAGTGCTATAGAAAGAATGAACAACGATCCACTACAATTCTATAAGATAATATAATTAAGTCATATTTGAATATATCCTCTCTACTCGGCCTAAGTAAAAGCCAATTTCCAAAATGATAACAGGGGATACATTATACTTCTAGTGCGAAACAGAAGAAGTTAAAGTTGGTACCAATAACAAGATTCCATTCTAGTATATATAAATATATATGGTAGGAGGCTATCACATTGATGCCACAATTAAACTGTCTAGAGCCATTTCAAACTAGGTGCATTTTTTTGCAAGCATGAATTCAGTGTGCTTACGCATACCTTTGTAGGGAAGTAGGGGCCAAAAAGCTAAAGTTCTCTTTGATTTCCTTTTTCTTCATGTATGAGTCTTCAACAACACACATGAAACCATAAGGAAATCATGCATGATTACATATTGACTAAAAAGTTTGTATGTTTCGCAGGATAAATTTGGAGCATTCTTTAGAGTTTATTACCAAAATTATATATTTTGAGCTTATTTTTATACATGTGCACACAGATACATGAACACACAACTACCATATTCCGCCTTAATCCGATCAAACCAGCATCATTTTTATGCATTACATTTCAGGTAATATGAGGACCCTAGTGTCCTGCACACGTTACAACATTGATTTAACCCAAATCCTCTCCTTTTGCACCATAGTATTTGAGCTCAAAATGTTTTTATTTTAATATTTATGTCAAAATTTCGTGGTATGCAACCAACATCCATCTTGAAAATCAAATCAGTTATAGCATGAGATGTCTCAAATCACTCTAAGAGCGAAAACATCTATAGGAAAAATAAGGTTGCCTTCAGGAACTCTGATGTTAAGCATTCAACCTAAAACTAATTGGCTATCAATGGAGCGCCAATTTGAATATAAGACCACAGGAAGAAGTAATAGATAAGGTATAATATCGCATAACAGTGAGATGCATTTCTACTGATGAATTTTGAAATAGCTATCGATACTTGTGAAGGTTAAAATTTATGTTTTTATAACTTTGAAATATGTAACCAAATTGAATTTAAGCTAACTTATTACATAATGTATAATTGTTTACATTTCATTCTCGTAATTTACACATCAAAATAAATTCAAACCTAAGTTGTCATATTCATATTCCTCCACATAGCATAATTCTACCACCATAACATCATTCTCATTAACATAAATGGAAAGCTCAGTTAACAAGTTCCCTGCAGCTATCAAATTACTAAGAATCGAAATATTTTCACCTTGAATGCAACAGCTAAAGGTTAACACTATGAAGCTTTAGCTAGAAATTACAATAAGCGGGTTAGTCCAGTTCTTAGCAAAACCCATAATCTATCAATTAAAAACGGAAGGGCAAGAAGAACGTGAGAAGTTCAATCAGAAAAAAAAATATCTTACAGAGATGGGCAACTCTGGGGTTATCATCCTGAATCTCGTTAGCGACTCGGAGAACGAGAGCAATGGAAGGCAATGATGAGGGAACCAGGTCAATGTCAGCAGCCGAGTCTCCCATATTGCTAGGAAGATCAAACATCATCCCATGGGCCTTGGAAATCCTCCGAACCAGCGGCGACGGCTTCGTGCCGCTCGAACTCGCCATGGTTCAAATTTGAGGGAAAAGAAAAACCCAAAAAAACGCAACAGTGAGGTAGAGGTGCAGTGATCGACACTGAATTTAAAGCGAGAGAGAGAGAGAGAATCATAGGTGTTTGTATTATAGCAATAAAAACCCAAAGCGGAAAGCAGATTTTATGAGTTGGCTACGATTTCTTTTTGCTTTTGGAATCAAATTCTGGGATTGTAGAACGATGCAAGCAACGTCGGTTTTCAATGAATATCTGAACCGGGAACTTGTCCACTGGATTTGGAAGCGCGCCAACTCTGCTTTACTCTCTTTTTCCCCCTACTTTTCATTACTTTATAACGTTGTGATAAATGTGGGAACTTATACATTTCGTGTTTCGAAGGGTTACATGTTTTTTTGGTATAATATCAAAATTAGCCCCTCAATGTTTATTAAAATGATTATTTTGATATTTTTCTTTTTTAAGCATTTTAGTCCTTAATATTTTATTTTAGAACAAAAAGGTTCCTAACATTCAACCGAATAGTCACTTTAGCCATTATTATTTTCTTCGGAAGTATTTTGGCCCTCAAGGTTTCATTTCAGGATAAAATGATATCTATTTTGGAATGTAATAATTTGTTAACTAACGATTTTCGTCTATAGAGGGACTTTTTTACCCCAAAATAAAATATTAGGGGTCAAAGTGTTAAAAAAAATAATATGAACCAAAATAACTATTTTAATAAACATTGACTGCTAATTTCAATATTATACCTTTTTATACAGATAATTTATTTTTAAGTAATTATTATATGAAGATATCATATGCTCAATAAAAGTTATTAATTTAATTCTTTTTCTGTTATATTACTATAATTTTTAAGAATAAATTATTTTATATAAATATAGAACGGATAATTACTTAAAGATATAGTAACAAAGATTTTAAATATATCATATTTCAATAAATAATATTTAATCAGGTTTAATGATTTTTATAAAACTTAAATGATCAAAATTCCACTCAAACATAATATACTTTACGAGTTTGCAACAATCATAAAACTCGGAATGCCAATATTTTATGTTTGTCATATTTATATTTTTAAAAAATTTCTCAATCTTTTAACATTAAACGTTCACAACCATGATACTCGAACTCGGGTTTTCAAAAAATACCAAAATAATGTTCGTCAATGTCGTCGCATCGGTGCAATATCGTGTCTTGGCGGAGAAGGCAAAAGATGCTTTATACAAACTTAGCAACCCCATGACTCAAATTCAAGCCTATGTTTTCGATGGTGTCACACTAAACTTATTGATCTAATGTTCTTCCTTGATTGCCAAATGGAAGTGATTCGAATTTTTCTTCATTTTTCCTTATCATGTAGTTATCAGGGCCAGTGTTCCAAAGCTGGATCTGGATGATGCTTTTGAGTAAAAGAATGATATTGCTAAAGTTGTCGAAGATGAGCTCGAAAAGGTAATCGAGGGAACTCGAACAATTTTTTATTCGTATCTCGAATCGATCTCGAGCTTCTTACCATACAACACTATTTGATTGTCATTGTGACTTAATAGGCTATGTCAGTATGTCTGCTTATGGATACGAAATTGTCCAGACTCTCATTGTTGATATAGAACCAGATGAACATGTGAAAAGAGCCATGAACGAAATCAATGCCGGTGAGTTTTATCTCATACGTCCGACCGATTTGATCTCCTGTCCGACCTTCTCGATAGTTTTTATTTTATTTTGTTTTACAGCTGCTAGGATGAGAGCTGCTGCTAGCGAGAAAGCAGAGGCGGAGAAGATTATACAAATAAAGAGAGCAGAGGGAGAGGCCAAATCGAAGTATCTGTCGGGTGTCGGGATCACAAGGCAACGACGGGCCATTGTCGATGGTCTAAGGGACAGTGTGCTTGGGTTTTCGGTCAATGTTCCGGGGACAACGGCTAAGGATGTTCTGGATATGGTCCTTGTTACTCAGTATTTTGATACCAGGAAAGAAATTGGTGCTGCCTCTAAATCATCATCAGTGTTTATCCCTCACGGACCCGGTACTGTTTGAGACATCGCCACCCAGATTCGAGATGGCCTGCTTCAGGCATCTCAGCATCATGAATAGAAGTGGTCGCCAGTTCGGACTCGTGATCGTATAATTTCCGTATTGCAATAAAATGAATTGAAGGTGAAAATGATCTAGAAGTTTACATTGTGCTAAAACCGGATATGGTTTAGTGTGTTTAAGTTAAGTCTATGTTCAATGGCTTAGAAATATGAAATGTAATTTGACATATGTAAAGTTAATGAAAGTGAACTTCTCTTTGCTACAGACAATCATATAGCGATACAGAGAACCTTTTTTCTTTCCCAGGAAACAAACAACAATGTCAAAGAGTTTCCCAGGAAAACTTCTGTCACTTTACCATGAAACCAGCCAGGATTTTCCAGGAATCTCACAATGCTAATACAAGATAGTAGATCAACGCAACAGGTCTGCAATAAGCATGCCAAAGATTACCCTGAAAACAAACAACAAACAAAACCTCATCAGTCAAATGGATCAAAATCAAAACATTTTGTTTGAAAACACCATGAGGATTACCCTGTGCTCAACATATCAGGATAAACATTGTATTCCTTGGCGAAAATAAATGGAACCACTCCAGGAGGAAGAGCTGCCTGTAATGCCAGATTTGTGTGTCAATGTTTATCTTTTCATCCCTTCGATTTACGAGTCGAAAAATCGAGATTAACGAAACAGTTTACTAACCTGCATGATTGCCATTCTTAATAATCTGCCTCTAAGTCCTATGGCAGCCGAGGATGCTGCCATTAGAGCAGGACCAGCCAAGAATTTCAACACGATGCCTACGATTGTCATTCGAATACCGCATGCTATTATGCTACGCTGAGATGCCATGAATAGACCTATACTGAACATCGACATGCCAAGTCCTCCGTTCGATAATATAGTTATCGAGTCTTCAACAATGGCAGGGAATTTTACGTTCAACCTACAGAAATATAAACAAATTTCTCAGTTTCCAATCAATCATCATCAAAGATGTAAACATCATTGTCGGCTTAAAATTTTCCATAATCTAACCTGAATCGAATGCTTGCCCAGATGAGACCAAGCAAAGCTGCATGAGTATTCGGATTTGCTATGAGCTTCTTTCCCACTATCAAGAAAATGAGCATAGTCTTGGACTTGCATCGTTTGTTTTGTGCCTCTTCTTCTCCATCTTTATCTTGTGCTTCTTCCGGATCTTCTTCGTTCCCTTATTCGGTCAAAATAAAACACATGTTATCGAACTGTTGGATTTTTCGTAAAACATGTCTTAATATAAGTACAAAAGGACATGACTATCTTGTAAAAGAATGAGTATACTATGCTGGACATGTGCTCGTATTCATATTCAGGATAGACCGAGGACGAGACGTATACCTATGTCTTCTACCGTTGGTGTAATCCCAGAGGCTCGCTTTGCAGCACTCAACTCGAAAATGAGCAACATCAAATTATACCAAATGATGCTTTGAAGAACAACAATCTGAGCAAGTAATCCGCCAGCTTCATCTCCATACATGGCCTTCAACAACGGGGTTCCGACTATCAAAGTGTTCGGCAACGTCAACAACGAGAAGCCGGTTATGATCGACCGCAAACCGCCCCGAGAATCGAGTTTCACGACCGCGACCAAAACGATTAGGGCCAATACTTTCTGAAGAAAGTCGGCGAGTATGATCTTGACGTTCATCTTGTAAAGGTTGTTATCGGAGATCACTTGGAAAGACAACAGCGGGACCGAGAATTTAGCGACGAACTTGTTTATGCCGGCACATTGTTCCGGCGTAAAAAGCTTCCACCATTTAACGGACATGTAAGCCAAAATCATGGCGACGTATAGAGGAACTATGGCTGTGAAAATATGATAGATATCTGCCGAAGAAATCATGGTGAACTAGTGATCTTTCAAGGTTTTCAAAACAATGTATTGTTTTTATTAATATAACCTTAGTACGTGATAAAGTTAGTGTATGCATGTATGTATGCATGTATGCATGTATGCATGTATGCATGTATGCATGTATGCATGCATGTATGCATGGATGCATGTATGCATGGATGCATGTATGCATGCATGGATGCATGCATGGATGCATGGATGCATGGATGGATGCATGGATGCATGGATGCATGCATGGATGCATGGATGCATGGATGCATGGATGGATGTATGCATGGATGCATGTATGCATGTATGCATGTATGCATGTATGCATGTATGCATGTATGTATGTATGATGGATGTATGCATGTATGCATGTATGCATGTATGCATGTATGTAAAATTATATATTATTTATGCAATAAATTTTAGGGTAAATTACATTTTAATCATTTAACGATTCACATGGTTCTAATTTGGTCATTTAACTTCTTTTTTCAAAAGCATACCTAATGTTATATTTTGATTTTATTTTGGTCATTCATCGTTAAAAAGTTGACAGAACTACTGACGGGGTAATTTTTATTTTTCAATTATGACGTGACATTATCTTACGATGACACATCAGCATCAATATTAATTTTTTTAGTTGCGGGCAACCAAAATAAAACAATCGATTTGATTTAAAAAAATAATTGACTGACCAAAACAAAACCATGTGAATAGCTAGACGACTAAATACATAATTTATCCTAAGATTTTGTACGTATAACTTTATAAACATGTATTGTTTATTAGGGTTTGACTAAATCCACTAGTGGATACTCATTAAATTATTGCTTTTTCTACGTACTTTTCTATTTACGTTTGTTATTTTCCTCTTGTAATAGTTTAAGTGTCATATAATGGCAGGCGTGGTGATAATACGAGTACGAAGATCATATTCAGTGGATTTTTTTCACGATCCGTCAAAAAGTATTTAATTCGTATCGTGGGTAAGATTTTGTACATTTATACGTATTCCGACACGCTAAAAAGTGTGTTATGGATAAGGAAAATAAATGTTGCTAAATCTAATTCTAAGTTTGAGAAAATCTCGACAAGATCTTCTTAGCCAATAATCAACGTTTGATTTAGGATGAATATATATTTATCTTAAAATTATATATTTTATAATTTGTAAACCTAAAATCAGAATGTATTTTATCTCAAATATTTCTTCATCTATCACTAAAATAATTTTTGTTTTAATTTTTAAAATTAATGAGTTATCTAAAGTTTGATCCATGATGTTTAATGATAATCTAGTTCTGATGTAACCGTGGGACATTGTTAGGGAGGATCTAATTCAGGGGTGTTGTTTTTCTTTGAATATTTGAAGTTATTCTCTGGTTTTAATACTATGGCTTTAGTGCTTGTCCCAAAGTGTTTGAATCTGAGTTGTATGTGTGATTTTCAACCGATTTCTTGTTGTAATGTGGTTTATAAGTGCATCACGCGTGTTATGGTTGCGAGGTTGAAATGCTTCATGCCTGAGGTTATTTCGGCTAATCAGAGCGCTTTTATCCCGTGCCGGAGTATTATGGATAACACTTTGATTGCGCAGTAGATGGTTAAGGGGTACAATCGGGCAACCCTTTTGCCAATATGTGCCTTGAAGCTGGATTAACATAAAGCGTTCGATTCAGTGGATTGGACATTTTTTTGTTTATGTTGCTAGAGGCCTTTGAGATGCCTAAGGTGATTATTGCTTGGATTAGAGAGTGTGTTACTTCTGTGTCCTTCTCTGTTTCTCTCAATGGTGGTTTAGTGGGCTATTTCAAGGGTGCAAGTGGAGTGAGGCAGAGGACTATTTCTAGGCTTCTGGATAGAGCAGCTAAGTTTGGCGTGATTTAGTACCATCCAAGTGTCATAGGGTTAGATTAACAAACTTGTGTTTCGCTGATGATTTGTTAGTTTCCTCGGAGGGGACTTTTGACTCTGGCTGGAGTTTGGGAGGTGCTAAAAAACCTTTCACAATTTTTCGGGGTTGCGGATGAACTCGAGTAAGTCTGAGGTGTTCTCTTAGGGGTTGTGGATGATGTGTTGTTTGAAATTTCTGAGGTTACGAGCATTCGGAGTGACAAGCTTCCGGTTAGGTATCTTGGCATTTCTCTTGTTGCTAAGAGGCTTACTGCTAGGGATTGTGCCCCATTGATTGCGAAGATTGAAGCTAGATTGAAAGGATGTAAGGCCGAGATTCTCTCGTATGTTGGTCGATTTCAGCTTATTCATTCAATAATTTACAACATTGAAAATTACTGGGGGAGTCAAGTGTTGCTCCTTGAGGCAGTTATTAAGAAAATAAACCAACTGTGTTCGCGTTTTCTTTAAAGGTGAGGACATGGCGATAAAAGGGGAAAGGGTCAGATGGGCTCATGTTTGTGCTCCGAAAACTGAGGGTGGGCTCGGACTCAAGGATCTCAAGACTTGAAATTAGACTTGTATGGTTGGTTTGATAAGGAGACTTCTGCTGAAGGATGGGTCTATATGGGTTGCTTGGGTTCATGCATATATTACAAAAGATAATTCTTTTTGGAACCTATCTTGTCCTCAGTACTGTAGCTGGGCTTGGCGAGGATTACCGAGTATGAGGCCATGTGCGCTTCAAGTTCAAGGGTTGCTCACGGGTTCGATCTCCTCTACTCGGGAGATCTGGAATGAAATAAGGGTGGAAAAGGATAAGGTGAATTAGGAGAGGCTTGTGTGGCATCCTGGTTACATTCCGAAGTTTTCAGTTACAGCTTGGATGGCAATTCTTAATAGGCTGCCCACGAAGGACAAACTTATTTTGTTTGGAATGCAAGTGGATGGAATTTGTGAGCTGTGTTTAAGAGAGCAGGAAACTCGTGACCACATTTTTTTCCACTTGTAGTTTTTCGAAGAATGTATGGGAAGCAATCCTTCTCCTCTACCACTTGCGAAGAAGGGTGTTGGATTGGTCACATGAGGTGATTTGGGCTTGATGTTGCCTGCGAGGTAAATACCTTCTTTCTTCTTTACTGAAGAAAAATGAATATACTCACATCTTACAGATGCCCGTAACAGACACCTAGTCCCCCCAGATCGAGTACCATAGAAGATCACAATGGGAAAAAATACATTGAGAGAAAGTGCAACATACCTAGGCCCGTGGATTAGAAGGGCAAGATCGTTGGTCATTTTCCCAGATTCCACTGTCTGAATGCAAGCATCCTCTAACTCGTGAACAAAGTCCAGCAACTTGTCATTGTTATCTAGTTTTGCCCTGCAAGCAATTGCATGGAAGTTCAAATGAAAAATGATAAACAGAAAAGATAATAAATGAAGATGATAAACAGAAAATAGAAGATACCTGTGCTCCATCCCTCTTATCCATGCAAATATGGAAGCAATGCTGTTTGTACTGGTTTCTTGTCCCTTTTGATGAAGCCCGAAATGTCGTGTTACGGTCCCCTGAGCTGCCTCAGCTTCTAGTGTCTTCCCATCAGATGACAGCTGCAGAATTTGTTATTACAAAGATTTGCATTCAATGGCCCAAATGGTGAAACTGATATAGATATATAAGAAACAAAGTCTTTTGACACAAACCAACACAGAAGTCATCAACCAAATCCTGCATATAGCAAAAACATGCATTTAGACTCCACAAGAAACTGAGATAAAATTTCAAACTCAAGCATTGATTTGTAAATGATTAAGCTTATTAACACAGAAATATATCCATTCATATCAGTAGGCATTTCAAAAAGAGAGAGAGAGCATGATTTATTATATTAATGTACAATCACCCTGTTACAGCCACAAGTGCTCGAATCTGTAACCTCTGGAAACACTAATAATTATCACCATTTTAGAATAATTGATGTGTATATATATAGTGATAATAAAACAAATGTTAAGATGAAATATATCCTAAATTAATAATCTTACCGGAAAACAAAATACAGCTAAACAAACACATATTTAAGCAACTGAAAACAGAAAACGAAATTTAATATGTTTATATACCACCCATCAAATGTTGCCCAAATTAAAATTTCAAATATAGATATACCAAAATATAAACCTAGATATAAGCAAAAGTTATTTCTCTTTTAGAATCTCCCTCCCCATTGTTCTTCTCCCTCCTTTCCATGGCAGCTTTCTTGATCATCTTCTTCTTAATCGCCCCCTCGATACGACGCTGTCGTGCCGACAATAGACTCGACCTCGTCGCGCGTTCATGCGAGACGGCCACCGTGAGGAGCAAGGATGATTACTTGAAGAATTACAAGTTGATACTCCGACACATGGAGCCGGAAATGTATAGGAACAAGTTTGCGTTTCACGAAGCCGGAAAGCCGCCGGATAAACTTTACGTGTTGTCTCAATGCATGGATGATTTTTCGAGAGTCGAATGCGCTCAATGCTTTACGAGGATCACTAATATTTTGCATGCATGTTTTCCGACCACCGGCGGTCGTGTTTACCTCGATGGTTGCTTCATAAGGGCTAACAATTATAGTTTCTATAGGGAAGTCACTTCACATGCCGATAACGAAGTGAGTTTCTTTACATACATATATTGTCCTATATCGAATGTTTTTTTTTTATTTGTATTGATGTGGATATCTTATGATTTCGTAAATTTATTATATGGAAGTTAGAGATGCAGCGATGATGTCGAAACCAGCGACGATTTCAAGATGGTCTTGAAAAAAATGTTGCCCAAGATGGTCCAGGAGGCTCCCTACAGAAAAGGGTTCGCCTTGTACAAGGAGTCGTGGAACGGGACCACCGTCCACGGGATGGCTCAGTGCTGGAAGATCTTGGACAAGGACATGTGCTCGTCCTGCCTTGCCGACGCCGTCGACCTCGTCTACCACTGCATGCCCGCCAAGGAAGGCCGTGCGCTCAACGCCGGCTGTTTCTTGCGTTATTCCACTTACAATTTCGCTCACAACACCTCCGTCGCCGCAGTCCGATGTTAGTTTCGTTCACTTAAATAAAATACGCAAGAGTTATTAATAAATTAAGATTACTATCGTTTACTCTATTGTAGATGCTATAGTATCATTCATAATTTACATCCTTATTACGGCGATCGTCTGCTCGTTGGCCGTAGCCGTCGGGCTGCGGTTGGGGAAAATTGCCTATAAACAGATTAATCCTCGACGCGAATGGAAAGGTAGCGTTATGAATCCGAACATAATCCGAATATAAATTATGATACGTAAATTTTGATTTTGTACGTTACACCACACAGGAAAAGAGGTCGATTTCGCCGCACTGGACCAGGCCATGAATTTCCTGCAATTCAAGTTGTCAACTTTAGAGAAAGCAACCGATTGCTTCAATAAAGCTAACAAGCTTGGCTCTGGAGGATATGGTGAAGTATTTAAGGTATAAACTCGAACTTGAATATCTTAATCCTTAAGTTCGAATTGCTCAATCGAGATTTGAGCAAGTTTATAATCGATCGATTTTGAAATCGAACATATCGAGCTCAATTCGTGTAGGGAACATTACCGGATGGACGAGAAATCGCGGTAAAACGTTTATACGTAAACGGAAGGAGCCGAAGCAGAGAAATATACAACGAATTGGATGTTATCAGTAAAGCACAACATAAGAACTTGGTCCGTTGCCTCGGCGGTTGCTTCACCATTAATGAGAACTTCCTTGTCTATGAATACCTTGCCAACAATAGCCTTGATTGTATTTTATTTGGTAAGCTACCTTATCTATAGTTGATTACAGACCCGAACGTGAGCGTCGGAAGTGTCGGACATAGATAATTCAAGAAAAACAAAATGGTACGATACGAAATCTATGTTCGACACTCTTGTCTGATGTATATCTAAACATGAATAGGAGAATATGATACGAAACATTTTCGGTACTAAAACAAAAATGGTGACCTATTTTGGTGGCCTATGGAAGGAAGATCCCGAGAAGAAGAAAGAGTTGGATTGGGAGAAAAGGCATAAAATCATAATGGGAACAGCCGAAGGGTTGGAATATCTACACAAAGGCTGCGAAGTTCGGATCATTCATAGGGACATCAAGGCCAGTAACATCTTGTTGGACCTCAAATTCCGACCGAAAATTGCCGATTTTGGCCTCGCTAGACTATGTTTGCGCGATACCGACAAGTTTCATCTCGTCAACAACACCGTCGCCGGCACTTTGTGAGTAATCCGTGTTCTCTTAGATAACATGAGATTATATATGAAGAGTCGGAATAACATAACTCGGATATCTTCTGATTGAATTTTTTAGTGGATACATGGCTCCGGAGTACATTGCGAAAGGAAGATTAACGGAGAAAGTAGATGTTTACAGTTTCGGAGTTCTAATGCTCGAAATCATCAGTGGAGTGAAGAACACCAAAATCGAATCCAATAATAATCTCGAAACATTAGTCACAGATGTAATCACAATTTCACGTCTTCCTTATATTTTCTTTTTGGAGTCGTCACTAATCATTTTTATCTTGTTTTTTTCAAGACATGGAAGCATTTTCAATCAATCACAACAAAAGAAATCATCGATGAAAGCTTACATTCGGAAGATCAAATTGAAGAAATAAAGAGAGAAATTCATCTGGGATTGCTTTGCACTCAAGCCGAGCCATCTTTAAGACCAAACATGACCAAAGTTCTTCAAATCTTAAGACATAAAGACATGGATATGCCTTCCCCGACAAAACCTCCATTTTTTTATGAATCTCTTAAGTTATCTTCTTCCAGCTTTCATAGTTTCCGAGTAAAATCCCAAGTCAATGATAACAATTTTTCAGGAAAATCCCAAACCAATTATAATTTACAAAGTTACGATCATCAAGATCACTGTAAATTGTAACAATGACCACTGCCTTTACCATTTTTTTATGTAGTCAGGATATTTTCTTTTACTTTTTAGATTGTCACGCTCGAAATTTAGGAATTTGGATTTTTTTTTGTTTGAAAAAAATGAGTATTTTTTATTTCATTTTTTTATTGAAATTAAGTTTGGGTTTTGTATAAATATACAATTTCAATACATAAAATAATAATAAACTTATAATTAATTTTCTTAGGACACTGAAAATCTAAATTAGATCTTAATCAAATAGCATACAATTTTTGTTTATAATATTATTATGTTATAATTTTTTTGTTACGTTTGCTATATTAATTATAAACTTTTAATATTTATAAATTATATTTTATAAAATTTTGGCTTAATTAAAAAATATGTGTTCAATCAACTTAAAGTCTCAAAGTTCATAGTAAATTAATCGTTTGGTCAAGTTGTTCATCTTTGTTTCTTCGTATTCCCTTCGATCATGGGTTATAGATTCACTGAAAGTATTCACCTTCCTTTTTCCAAAATCTCTCTTTCCCCTCTATGTAGGATTAGTATTAGATTTAAAATTTATAAAAAAAATCTCAAACATCGTTACTAACACAAGTTGTTGCCAATGTTGTCGAACATCCACTCACCTACCAGAAGATCACCACTATTGATCATTCATTTTTCATGTCTTCATCCCCTAATTCCTTAAACATAAATTTATATATCTCCCTAGACACTAAATCCTTAAATTTGTTGCAGAATACGACTATCGGATAGAGCAAATTCGCAACTGATAATTTGAGAAAATAAAAATGAAGATAAAGAAGACACAAATTTTACGTGGAAAACCCTTAAATAATAGAGGGTAAAAAACCACGGGCAATAGTAGAAGAATTTCACTATGAGAAAATAGGAATTACAACTTCTCTCGATTTACCAAGGAGAAAATAATGACAATTCTCCTTGATAAAAAAGGAGAAAACAACTCTCAATAAACTCTCTAAATTATCTAGTATTAGGAAAAAGCTAAAATGATTTGGGATGATTTTCAAGATAAATGGGTTAGGGTATTTATAGTTGAAGCTTAAAGACTAATATTATAAATACCTTAAAGTGCAGGGACTAAATTTTGCAATTTTCCCATTTTATTTTTCAAACAACTTTGCAGCCAACTTTGAATTAAATCAAAGCAGCCGACTGCCATCTAGAATAAATTAGCTGCCACATGCTATTTTATTTTTGACTTTCTACAATCTCCCACTTGAAGATTTGATTGGAACAATCATATCTTCACATCATTCTTTCAACCTTGTATCATCATGTTGCTTACGTATCTGACATGCCCCAAGAGGATCGACACCAAGTAAATTTATCAGCATTGATCGACTTCATCATGAAATCTGATATGTTGTCTTTGGTATAGATTTTGTAACACCCCAATTTAGGGGCTAAAATTAAGAAATTATAAAGTGGTGGATTTAATTTGGTATTTTGAAAGAACCAGTGGGTTAAATTGCAAAATTTTAAAGTTGACAGACCATTTTATGAAGTGCATGAAATTCAGTGGCTAAACTCTTGGTTTAACCATTTTTAATTATGAGATGATATAAACCCCCAATTTCCCGTATGTTTTTGGAAATTTTTCCAGTTTTCCCTCTCCCGTCAACCCCTCTTTCAACTCCGATCTACTCGCCGAAACCACCATCGTGTTCGTTGCCGATCGAGGAACAAAACCCCTCAAAGCTTTTGTCGTGAATCGTCGCAGTTCGTCGTTAATTTCAGTCGGAAGTATCGTCGGTAATAACTCAATTTCAATTGGTTTTCCGTCGATTCACGACGATCCGAGCATCCGTTTACGACTCCTCCCGCATCATCGTGTTCCTTGCATCGTTCCGAGTCTGTCGGTGTCATCCTTGGTCTCCGTCGACGGCGGCGTGTGAGGAGGTGAAGCGGTCAAAGTTTCCGATTTGTTGAAATCGAGCTCTTCGCCATTCAAAATTGTGAACCGAGCTTTGTAAGTATCTCGAAATCGCTCAAAATGATTTTTAGGAATTATTTCAAGAATTTAGCACTGTTCACGCGCCGCCACTGCACGTGGGGAAGGAAAAAGTGACCGGTTTGACCGGTTTTGGAACTGTTTTGACCGGTCACAACCCGACCCGTTGACCGTTGACCGTGACCGGCATTGACCACTATTGACCAAAACTTTGACAGGCTTTGACCGGGCATTAAACGACCTTTGACTTTGACCGAGTATACCTATCCTGAAATTTTTCAACGTTCCAAATCCGATTCCGCAGTCCGTTTTTTGAAATTCGAACATGAAGGCCTCGAAATTTCCGGTCAAACCCGTTGACTTTGATTTTGACCGTAAATTACAAATTTCCGAAAAGTCATATTTTATGCTTTTGACGTCCTGAATCCGAATCCGAAGTCCGTTTAGCCAAATTCAAACCCGGTAAGCTATTTTTCACTGATTTATCATCTGATTCGACCTGCTTATCGCAATTAAGCTCCATTTCTGATATAATTTATGTTGATATGTATCTGAGGAATTATTGGAAGTTGAATTTAAGATTAAAGGCGTTCGAATGGAATTTTTATGGTCAATCAGTATTGCACAGAAATCGAGGTAATACTTTACTACCTCTTTATGCTTTATGGAACATGTGGATATTGGTAAATGCATGAATGAAAATGTTAGGGATAGTATGTGTAATTAATGAAGTTCTACACTTGATTCGAATATGGTAAAAACTCGGTATCTGAATATGGATCAGATGACTAGTATAAGAAATTGAAAGACAATTTGAATTCAATTACAAGATATTAGATTAAGTGATATGGGAATCATCATTGGATATGTAATGTATAAATTATCTCATTTGATAAAGTATGAAAATACTCCAGTTTAAGTGATAAATTACGAAAATACCCTTATGTTGTAAAAAGATAAGATTTGACCCTGAATAGAAAAATACTAAAGAAGTCATGCTTAAATCGATGAATTGCTAGTTTCATCGTTAAAATATACGTTTATACAGAAAATTTCTGATAATCCGAAAATCTCCGAGTTATGAGTAAACACCTGAAGAATAAATTATCGAGGGTGCTCTTTCGTCAGAATTGTTTGAAAGGACTGAAATAGATGATAAGTTCGAATTAAGTGATAAGATCGGACGGAATGAAAAGATTGAAATATCATATATTTGTAAAATGACCAAAATACCCCTGGAATGGAAATGACTCGAGAATATCATTAAGCTCAAGAATGAATGGATATCCTCAAGCTCTGAAATGAATAGAAAAATATTGAGCACCAAAATGACCAAAATGCCCTTATGGTCTAGACTAAGTAAATGAATTGGATTCATTAGGGAATCCAAATAAACAAAGGTGTTATACAACCATTAAAAGTTATGGAACACAGTTTAAGTAAGTCGATCAACCTTAATGACATGTCAGTACCTGAATGATATATATATTACTTGAATGTGTGTTCGTCTCCTCAAGTTTGGATCGATGATAATGTTGGAAGTACTCACCTCAGCTTAACGCTAAATCACATTTTGTACTAAGAGGTGGATACTAGTTAGACAAATCAACCACGAAGACTAAATTTAATTGAACAGAAGTACAATATATATCTAAAATTCAGAAACGTCTGGATTATCTGGAAAGCTCTGAAGTAACTGGGATAGACTTGACTGATAAACGAAATGAGTAACCTCAATAACTGAGGATTAAATAAGTGATTGGATGAGTTTTGGAACACTGTTGAACTTGCATGATGAATTATCCTTATGGGTCATAAAACATGAATCAAGTACGTATGTATTTCCTGATATCGTTGGAATATGGAAATGAATTAAAGACTATTGGAAGATCTATTCAGCGATGATTACGAAGATGATTTATGGACAAGAATTTTTGGTATTAAAGAGTAAATACTCTGAAAATGCAGTAAATTGATGGGACGAAATGCATTAGTTCAGAGAGATTGTTCAGTTCGAATTGTTCGATAAACCGATCGATTAACATGGATTGTAAATGTCTTGAAGCTTCGTTTCTCCTTTATTAGCTCAAATCACTCTGGGCATTCTGGAACGCTTTCCTGATGCACATGAATCATAGTGGAATTCTAAAGTATCAACTTTAAATGTCTGATTAGATCGGTTAGTAATCGATTCTCTCCAATAGGATCTTGTTCTTAGAATCCGATCAAATTACATGAGCTTCATGTTATCCTTACCGATAATTACAAAATGCCTCTAAAAAATACTTGGATTCTCTAGTGTGTTCCCTATGTACTACATAATTATTTTATCTATTTTGAAATGAGGTACACTAAAATCTATGGTTACTGTTTTATGATGCCTCGACTTATCGATAATGGTTTATGGACTATGACTGATATATGATTATTGGTTTTCACTGATATATGATAACGATGATTACGGACCTAATGTGACTCTTGGGTAGGCTCACGGGCCCTAAGATGCTCCATTAGGTTGGCTCCCTTTTGCCGTGTGCTTAGGGTAAGCCCTATAGACTTACGGGCCTAAAGATACAGGCCCAAAGCCTATCCTTAGG